ACCCGTCTGTCAGTTGCTGTGCTCTGGCAGCAGCACACATAGAAGAACTAAAAGGACTTACAACTAAGCTATACAACCACGCACTGGGGCTTTGGGAAGGGAAAAAGAAGAGGAAGATTGGCAACAGATGTTAGCTCAGGGCGAGTCTTTTCTAGCAAAAGAACAAAAAAGAGAATAAGAGAAGGATGAGACAGGATGAGTTTGGAGAGCTAGGCAGTGGCTATATCATGTTAGGCTTTGTTCACTGGATTAAAGGGTGTCGATTTTATTCTGATGAGAAGCTATAGACCAGATCTAAACAGAGCAAAGTCATGGTCCAATTTATGTTTTAAAATGTGGGGGAAGAATGAAAGTGGTGAGACCAGTAAGGAAGGTGAGAGTGGCTTGAACTAAGGTGGAAGCAGCAGAGATGGAGTGAAGTGGATGCATTTTAGATCAATTTTTAAGTTAAAACACAGGATTGCTGATAGTTTGACAGTAGAGCTTGAGGAAAAGGGAGAAACTAATGTTGATTTCTGGGTTTTTTGGCATGCAAGGATGGTGGTGGCATTTGCTAAGAAGCAGAAGACAGAGAAAGAAGCAGAGTGGGCTAGGAGAAGAGTTTGGCTTTGGATATGTTACATTTAATGTGAATGTTAGTGACCCAAATGGAGATGTCCAATAGGCATTTGTATACAAGGAGAGAGGCCATGCCTGGGGAAGTAAACCTGGGAGTCATCAGCTAATAGTTATCGAGAGCCAAAAGCCTGGATGATATTATTCTAGGGAGTGTGTTCTGGATATTTTACATGACCATTTGCCTGGAATGGATGATGTGACTGAGTTCATTAATAAGAAAGTCTCACAATGGTTTCTCACTAGAAGCAATTTCTCTCTCCTGGATGAGATGTGCAGGTCCAGATTCTATAACATGCTGAAGACTAGGGAGTCTCTTTCTTTCCATCCTTTCTTCCAAGTTTTTATTCACTGAGCAAGCTTTAACTGAATGCCAAGCACAAATTAGTCAAATTGCTTTCCTTGTTCCCACTCTGAGCATGGCTCTGGATAGAAATTATGGGAGGCAGATGAGAGAAATAAATGTGAGTCCTCCCTGTAGGAAACTTAATTCAGAAAGAAAGGAAATTAATGAAAGAGTCAAATAACCATAGGTAAGGCATTATATGGGTTCAGTGCAGGAAAGAGAAACCACTTATTTTATTCAGAAAAGGTTGATGATGTGAACTGGGTATATAAAAAATTGTGGAAGGGTTCAAGAGCTCACTGTCAACTGGCCCCCTATAACATTACAGAACTGACCACCCAGAGAACTGGTAACTCTGAAGGCACCACCGGATCTGCTGAATTCAAGAACTGATTTTGACAACTGCTGTTCAGGGATCAGGAAGCTGCCTGCGCTGTGCTCTTATGGAAATTGCCTCTCGACATTCATAAAACTAGAGAATGGGATCTGGAACACTGAGACCAGCCAGGCCTCACCCCACCCCATTCCCCCTACACATGGGCGCAACTCTCTCTCAACACCCAGGAGGATGGACATGGAATATTGCTGCAGAAGTATTTTGTGTCTCCACTACCCTTTTTACCTTTCGAAAACAGTCAAAGGTAAAGGAAGATGGTCTCCATCTTACTGTAGCCTTTCAAATCTAGCGCCACTTCATCTACTTGCCAGAACCTAATTCCTGTCCTGAACCCCAGCTGCAAGAGTCTGTGAAATGTAGTTTTCAGCTTTCTCACCTCTTAGGTTCAGGAGGTACCCTAAAAGCGGTTGTAAACTGGAGGTGATTTTACTCCCCTCCTCCTGCCCCAGAGACATTTGGCAATGTCTGGAGACATTGTTGGTTGTCACAACTCGGGGATGGGTGCTATTGGCATCTAGAGGGTAGAGGCCGGGGATGTTGATAAATATCCTACAATACCCAAGACAGCTCCCCATGACAAAGAATTATCTGGCTCAAGATATCAATAGCTCTCAGGTAGAGAAACCCTGCTATGGAAAGAGGGTGAAATAGAAACTGACAAACCAAACCGTTGTGTCCAACAATGGCAAGGGGCCTAGATTAGTTATACAAATAATGACTCTCAAAGTGGTTTTAGTTTTGTTTTGTTTTTAAAGAAAGTCAATTAGGCAGAAGCTGGAGTGGTTAGAGAATTTTTCGCAAATGACGTGGGACTGGAATTGCTTTCTGAAGCCCGTGAAGGATTGTACATGCGAGACAGTAAGGAGGACGATAGGAGTGAAGAAGGGCAAGCAGCGCAGGGCTGGAAGCTAGAAATGCAAAGCCATGTTCATGAGATAAGGAGAAGATCAGCCTGATTCAGTGGGGAACTGAAGTTATGAAGCTTCAAATTAGGTGTTTAGACAGGTGGTGACAGATTGTGAAGAGCTTGAACATCTGGCTGAAATGTTTGGACTGTCGCGTGGAGAAGGGGAAAGGCTTAGGAACCGGGCGAAGGTAGGTCTGAGCCTGACTCCTCCACATCCTATAGGGAGATCCTGGGAGTATCTTAACTTTTCCAGGGCGCAATTTCCTCAGCTGGAGCTACTATGACAGCCGTCTATGGTTTATGTAAGATCAGGATAGTACATGACCCTATTCCTCTTTCCCTGTTTGACAATAAGGACCTGTTGGAGACTTGTATGTTCCCCAATTCAAGAAGAAACTAGACAATTCTGTAATCTACAAACCAATCTCTCAGTGCAGCCATGGTGCTGGGATGTGTAGCCTATTAGTCGAAAGTCAGGCAAAATAGTAAATGGAATCACATCGCCATTTTTTATTACATTTGGTGAACTACTTTCATTAATTTATTAAACACTACTTAAGATCATCTGTGTAGAGTCATACAGGCACTACACGCTAGTTGAGACTCTGTGCAAGTATGATGCTGTATTCTAGATTATACACGTGCAAAGTGACGTAGCGACAGGAAAATGATATCGTTCCAATGAAAAGCTCCCAACACCTATATCAATTTACTAATTTATTCTGTTTGTGGAGACATTGCTTGACTCCAGTTTGTTTGACCATAAGCCAACTTTTTTCCAATTGTGGTAAAATAGACATAAAATAAAATTCACAATTTTAACCATTTTAAACAGTAAAATTCAGTGGAATTTAGTACATTCATAATGCTGTGCAACCATCACCATTATATCAAGTTCCAGAACATTTTTATCACTCCCCTCCCAGAAATCCCATACTCACTAATCAGTTGCTCCCCATTTCTCCCATCCTTCTACTCCTGGCAACCACTAATCTGCCTTCCATCTCTGTGAATTTCACTATTCTGTACATTTCATATAAATGGAATTATATAATATGTGGCCCTTTGTGTCTGGCTTTTTTACTTAGCATAATGTTTTTAAGGTTCATCCATGTTCTGGTATGTATCAGTACTTCATTCCTCTTTATGGATGAATGAATTCCATTGTATGGATATACCACATTTTGTTTATTAATTCAGCAGTTGATGGACATTTGGGTTGTTTCCACTTCTTTGCTATTGTGAATAGTACCGCTAGGAATATTCATGCACAAGTTTCTGTTTGAACAACTGCTTTTAATTTGGTGGGGGGAGGGTTGTACATACCTAGGAGTGGAATTGCTGGGTCATATGGTAATTCTATGTTTAACTTATTGATGAACCACTAAATTTTTTTCCACAGCAGCTGTACCATTTCACATTCCCACCAGCAACGTATAAAGGGTTCCAAATTCTCCACATTCTTGCCAACAGTTGTTATTTTCCTTTTTTTTCTTTTGGTTATAGCCATCTCAGTGGATGTGGAGTGGTATTTCTTGTGGCTTTGATTTGCATTTTCCTAATTTGTAACAACTTTGAATATCTTTTCATATGCTTGTTGGCCTTTTGTATATTTTCTTTGGAGAAATGTCTATTCAAGTCCTTTGCCCATTTTTTGAATTATTTGTCTGTTTGTTGTTGTGTGGTAAGAGTTCTTTAGATATTCTGGTTACTAGAACCTTATCAGATACATGATTTGCAAGTATTTTCTCCCATTTTGTGAGTTATATTTTCTCTCTCAGTGGTTTCCTTTTATGCACAAAAATTTTCCGTTCTAACAAAATCCAATTTATCTATTTTTTTCTTTTGTTGCTTGTGCTTTTGTTGCCATATCTAAGAAACAATTGCCAAATCCAAGGTCAGGAAAATTTACCCCTCTGTTTTCTTCTGAGAGTTTCACAGTTTCAGCTCTTATAGTTCAGTCTTCGATCCATTCTGAGTCACATTGTCTTTTGAATCACCTTGCCTTCTGCGGGACTCTAATTCACATGTCACCCTCCCAAACCCCATATCCCAACCTCCTCAAACAAATGTTGCCTGCTCTCTATCTTCCTACAATGGTCCAGCTGGCCGCCTTTCTCTGGATAGTGCTCCATTCTCCAGAGATATCTTCCTAAAAGTCTCCCTACTAAAATCTTCTCTCATCAAAGCCCTTTCAAATATCCAGCTCTTTGCTATTGGCACTGCAAAAGCACTGAATAAACTGGTAGGTACTTAGAATTCAGAACAGCTCATTGATGGAAGGTTTTGCCCTTTCCAAGATATATTACATTTTACTGGTGGACTTTTTTTTTTTTTAATACACCTTAGTTTTTTAGAGCAGTTTTAGGTTCACAGCAAAATTGAGAGGAAGGTACAGCAATTTCCCATATACTCCCTGCTCCCACACATGCATAGCCTCCCCCAATATCAATACCCCACCCCCACCCCAGAGTGGTGCATTTGCTACAATTGATGAACCTACACTGACACATAAAAATCACCCAAAGTCCGTGGTTTACAGTAGGGTTCAGTCTTGGCATTGTAGATTCTTTGGGTTCTGACAAATATATAATGACATATATCCACCATTACAGTGACATACAGAGTAATTTCACTGCCCTAATAACCCGCTATGCTCCACCTGTTCATCCCTCCCTCCCCCCGGCCCCTGAAAACCACTGATCTTCTTCATGTCTCCATAGTTTTGCCTTTTCCAGAATGTCACGCAGTTGGAATCATACAGTATGTACCCTACTAGTGGACTTTTAAAATCCATTATTGCCTTAGTTCAAACACCAAATCTACAAACTCTTGAGGGGAGAGATTGTAATCTGTCTTCTCCTGTGCCCAGGAAGCATTCAATAAGTATGAAATGTGTGAATGAATTACTAGTAATGACATTTCAATATCATAGCAATTAGAAACAGGCAATACTTTGGAAAGAAGGGCCCTCTCGGAAACATCGATTTATAATGAACATCTAATGGGAAATTAAAGCAGCAGTGAGAAAAGTCTGGAAGCAGTGTTGAGGACCTGGGTGACCCTTTTCCAACAAAGTCTTGGACCATCCACCAGCCTAAAACACCGTGACATTTTCAGAGACGGGGGGCACAGATAGCAACCGCAGCTGTAAATCAGATAATTGTGGCTTATAAAATTTCTAGATGATTTCCTGTGATATTGTTTACTCATTCTTAGGTTATTAGGGAGGATTAGGAACAAGGGAATGAAGAAACATCCTTACTTTCATAGGAAAATGAGTAATACTTTTCAAGTATTTCAAAATTTCCTATACCATGATTATAAGATACAAATACCATTCTTTTCCCTCAAAGAACCGCCTGATTTCTGTAACATCCTTTCACAAAATTGTTTTGTCAATTGTATACTCATAGTAGGGTAAATTTATGTTTTATCTTGGATTTGTTTATTATTGGAATCTTGAAAGAGCTAAACATGTCTTTGGTTAGTCAAAGACATTTTGCTTTCGTGATGTAAACATAACAAATTAGAAAAGGCTTTAATATTGAAATTATGGGAGATCAAATATTTAATGTTGAACAGTCAAATGGCAGAGCAATTAATCTGCCAGGAATTTTTACACAGGATAACTAACCTCCAAGTGCCATCATTCATGACTAAAAAAAATATGCTTATTATTTCAAATGTTGGTCAGCTCAGCCAACAAAGTAATTATTGGAGTGTGAGAGTATGTATGTGTGTGTGTGTGTGTGTGAAGGGAGGTATGTGTAAAATTGCCAACCATTTTTCCACTCAGAATTGAAAATTGTAGAAGAGTATTGCAATATTGCAACGAAAAGAAAATTACAAATTTTTTGCTTATACTTGAACAAATTTTCCTGACTTCCCCTTAGTTGGCTTCTGTGTGTGTGTTTTGTTTATTTCTCTTAGAGAATGTAAGTGGTAGGAGACCGAGGCCTGTGTCATTCTAGTTCATTCTGTAAAGGGAAAGAGGATTATTGGTGGCTTTGGAGGGAGGGCGGGACAAAAGGAGACTGCTGAACAAATAATTAAGGAATAGTCTTCCTGCTTTCTGAGGCAAAAAATGGTTAATAGAACAGTGAAAAGGTGAAAAATGGTTATTTTCATTTTATATTTCCTAAGTCCCACCATGAAATCTATGTGGATCGATACTCTCTGGATGTTTTACCTGACAGGAGAGTCAAACTTTGGGGAAGAAAGACAAGGGGCTGAAGGTTGCAGACAATCGGTGGTTAGAAGACACTGGCCTTTATCTATCCCTCTGACCTTCTCTTCTTTCTGTGCACGAGTACTATTTCTCTTTGTATTTCCCTTCCTCTTCCTCTTTCTCTCAGCCTCTTTCTCTTATGCATTATCTGATTTCCTTTGATAATATGTACTTGAAGCATCTTTATATTTTTGTATTTATAAGTCAAAGTTGTATATTTTTTCCTCAAAATTTTAAAGCAAATCAAATATATTCTATATCTCCCACCATTGGTCTCGCTCCCCATCCCCTCCCCATAGGTTGGTTATTGGTTGCTTCATTTTCATTTGTAACTTTATACAGTAGGTTAGTGATTCTTAACAGAAAAAAGAATTTCCCTAACCCTGCCCAAGAAATACTTGTGGAGAAAATGAAAATGTTTGAGAAATGTTACATTGGAATACTTCTCTTTGCTATTTAGTTCATTTGTTTATTCCCTGCCTCATGCCAGAAATTATTGTGTTGCTCACAAAAATATGAATAATTTGGAAAGATAAAATAAATTCAAAGCAGGTGAGAAGTTGAGTAAAATGAAAAATACAGATGGAAAGTTAAAAAGTACCAAGAACAAATCATGTTTTAAACTTGCTGAAATTGGCTCTTCTCATTTTGGCTGATCAGATCTAGTCAAAGAGATTGTTTTAGCAAAATCCCTTTTGTGGAGGTAGCATGGGGGGACAATCGTCTTTGGAGAAAAGATTGTCTGGATTTCTCTCTGGTTTTCTATTTAGTTGTTGTATCATCGAAGTGAATGAAGCATAGTCATCTCTGCTGGGAGAAGGCTCCCCAAACACAAAAGGAGGAATGAGCAGCATGAAGAAATGATGTTGAGGGCCAGAATCGGAAAAAGCTTGCAATCTTCTCATGTCTAGATAGAGTTTGCATGACAAGTTATGTTCTAGGAGGTGGTTCAGCACATGCAATCATTTATTCATCCATTTTTTCATTTATCTAAATCAACATCTCTCAACCTCAGCACTATTGACATTTGGGGCAGGATAATTCTTTGTTGTAAGGGGCAGTCCTGTGCATTGTTGGATGTTTAACAGCATCCCTGACCTCTACCCAATAGATGCCAGTAGCCCCTCCACGTTGCGACAAGTAATAACGGTCTCTGGACATTGCCAAATGTCCCCTAGGTGGCAAAAGCACCCCTTGTTGAGAATAAATGATCTAAACATATTCGAACATTCGTACCAGGCATCCTGGTGAACCGGAGAGATGTGTGGCCTTCCTTCAAGGAGCTTGAAGTCTTTCTCTGCAGAATTAAATGCATGAATTTGGACATTAAATGAATGAAAGAAAGAAAGAATGGCTCGCCAAACTGAGTAAACCTGTTTTCTCCTCTGAAAATCCTTTAAAAAACATTTATTGAGTCCTTGCTTGGTGCCAAGTGTCGTGTTTGGCACCCGATTCTTCGGTTGCTATGAGGATCAAGGGAGAAGACCAATGAGAAGTGTTCAGTGCAGCCCCTGGCACTTTGTACATGTTCAATAAATGTTTATTATTGCCATTGTTATTATTAGCATTTATTTAAAGCTTCATGGTTTTCAAGGTTATTTTTATTTTATCTTTTTAAAAAAATTTTTTTGGGGGAGAACGATTTGCCCTGAGCTAACATCCATGCCAGTATTCCTCTATTTTTTAGTATGTGAGCCACCAGCACAGCATGGCTGCTAATAGATCAATATAGGTCCGCGCCCAGGAACCAAACCCAGGCCACCAAAGTAGAGCATGTTGAACTTAACCTAGGCCACCAGGGCTGGCCCTCAAAGTTAGTTTTAACTGCTATCTCTTCTAATCATCATCATAACTTAGTGGGTCATTATTGTTTTTGCTCCTATTTTATGGATGAGGAAACTGAGGCTCAGAGAAGAGATACACCCCATTGATAGCTTTAAATAGCAGTCCCAAGACTCAATCTAGTTAAATCCAACTTTATGCACCTCCTCCATATTGTCTGCTGAAAAGAGAAGAACTGTCAGGACAAATGCCACAGAGTGGGACATCAACAAGGGGTATGGCTGGGATCAGCGTGGACATCTGTCTTTTCCTTTTCAGACACAACTACTCCTAAACCATCAGGCCATAGTGTTAGAAAATGAAAAGCAAAAACCTAACTTGACACATTTGTGTTTTTTCTAAAACAACTTAGTACTCATATAAGCCTGTGCATCCTATTTCAACTTCTGTTCAAAGAGGCTTCATTAGCAGAGGTGCTAACATCTTAAAAGCCACCTGCCCTTTCTGTACACATAGTAGGGGCAATTCAGAGCCAAGGATTCCCAATCCTGCTTCATAAACACTCAACCTTTTCCAAAAAAGCCTTTGACTCACTACAGTTATGTCATGGATCATTTCTAAGATTCCCCATTCAAGCTATTGTCCGTGGCACTTATGCTAGATTCTGCATGAGAGAGAGATAGTGGGGCCGGCCCTGTGGCCAAAGGGTTAAGTTTGTGCACTCTGCTTCAGCAGCCTAGGGTTTTGCTGGTTTGGATCCTGGGCGCAGACCTAGCACCGCTCATCAGGCCATGCTGAGGCAGTGTCCCACATAGCACAACCAGAAGGACCTGCAACTAAAACATACAACTACGTGCTGGGAGGGCTTTGGGGAAAAGAAATAAAAAAAGATTGGCAACAGATGTTAGCTCAGCTACCAATCTTTAAAAAAGAAAAAAAAGAGAGAGATACTTACTGGGCCATACTGCCAACAACTCCTTGTTCCCATGTACCATGACTTTAGCAAAATGCAGTTGTTAATGTGAGACCCTTGTCTGCCAAAGTTGAATCCTCAAGACTGAGAGTTACCATGAATGGCTGACAAAGAAGCAAAAGATGCCGTTAGAAGGTTGAGGAATAGAAATCACAAGGTAAAGAACTCGTCATTGTTCCATGAAGATGTGAAGAAGTTAGATTTGTTCTGAATGTCAAATCTGGATTTGGGAAAATGTTGACCTTTACCATCAGACAAGCAGGAGAGTCATTTCCCCTATATATTTAGCTGCTCTTACCTGGTCCTCCCATTTTATTACCACACCCTGCCTCCCTCCACCTACACAGACAGACCAAGAAAACATTTACAGCTTGTGAATATTTCAACAGTGTGGTTTTAAAAGGTACCTTAAATTTATTCTAGATGTTGTGTTTCTGACGTGGGTAATGTTACGTGATGGAATAAAGATCTCGAAAGAGCTATTCCTATTAATAAATTGGCAGATAAAATGTAAGAGTGAGCCACCACTCCTGATTCTTAAAAAGGGAATCATATTATAATGATAGAACTTCTCCTAGGAGAGTACCAGGACCTAGTCTGCCTAGAAGAAAAACATGCTGTTCTGCTTTAAGAACTGTAAGAAAGGAAGAACTAGAAGGGAAAATTAAAATTAAACATACATTTTGAGAAGCAAATAAGTTAAAATATCACTCGAAGGCTTTAATTTAGAAAACTTGGGAGAAGTTCCTTGTTAATTTAAAATTCACTAGATAATAAAACACCATACACTAATTACAAATACTGTATCATACTGTATACTATGTATCTACATGGATTATATGTCTAGCAATCATCTACTTGATGCTTCTGAACACCATCCTAAATCTGTATGCATCTTGCTCAAGAACTTTAAGAAAAAAAGCATTGTTCCTGGGCTCGAAGTGACAGGAGAGGAAATTACAGGTCTGAGATTTCTTTATGCTCTATCACCGTGCAAAAGCTTAAGCATTTGCACATGTGAAAGAAAAAGTCTCTGAAATTTTCTAGAAAAAAAAAGTGTTCTCCACTTGTGACACTGCCCGCAAGTTATTACCACTTGGGCTTCCTGGAAAAAGCCACATCCTCTTAATTGTCACACATGAATATTTAAATGAATTGGACACTTCTTTTTCAAAAAGGCAAAACCAAAAAAAGATATTTTCAAAAAATATCTGAAGCATTTCAATCGCCAAAGAGGGCCTCATCACATGTCAGGTTTCTGAGTTTCTCAAAAACATGTTTTTGAGCTTCAAATTTCTCACCTGTAAAATGTGAGTGGTACTAATAGCTAAGATTTGCTATAGTCACGCACTGTGCTGTGTGCTTTACCTTCATTATTTCACTTAATCCTCCAACAACCCTTTCATGGAGGTTTATTATTATCCCCATTTCCCAGATGCAAAGCTAAGGCCTGGAGGTTAAGCCAATTGTTGAAGATCGTACAACTAACGAGTGTCCTAGTAGGAATTCAAGACCAGGTACAACCCATTCTAGAGTATGAACTCTTAACCATATTCAAATAAAGTTAAATAACCCTTAAAATATCCAGTAGAATGTCTGGTCAAGATAATAACAAAACGTAGCTGTGGATTTTAAAATAAAACTTGCCCTTAGCCAGCTTTGTTTATGACAGAGGTTCTCAACTTTGATTATATTCAAATCACAAGGGCTATTGTAAACAAGCAAACAGCTTTTGCTTATAGCCCATCCCATACACACTGAATCAGAATCTTTGGGGTGAAGACCCAGGTATCTGTTTTATTTTGTATTTTTAAAGTTTCTGGAGTTCTGATTCCCAGTAAGATGGAGAAGCACGTTCCACCCCATCACTCCCACCAAATGCAGTTGTAAACTTGAACAGATTGCATGGAACAGCTATTTGAGGTCTCTGAAAAGTAAAAAGTAATAAGTAAAAAAGCAGATAGATTGAGGAAGAACACAAGAATTCCTAGTCCCATTAAGCCATTAGTGAGTGTACCTCTTTTTTTTGGCCTGAACTCAAGGCATCTTGAAACCCAGAAGTGACCATCGGCACAGACAGAAAGATCTCCAGGAGAAGCTGTCTATTTCTAGCACAAGGAGAAGAAAATGGGTCTCCTAATACACAGAGAGAGTGGGGGAAATCCCTGTTTCCATAAATTTTTCTTTTCTTTCTGTTCTCTTGCTTCCCAGGCTCCAGTGGCCTCTAGGCATCTAAAACTCTGAGGGAGGGGTCTTTCCTCTCAAATGGGAGGAACTGTAGTGCCAAGTGGGTGAGGGAAGCCTCAATACTTATTTTTCTTTCTCTGTCTTCCACTTCTTGGCCCTGGATATGGGCACATAGTAGAAAGTACATGGCAGAGTGGACAAATAAAGCCCTAGTTTTCTGGCCAGAAGACCAAAAAGGGAAGCCTCAGGGAACTGGAATATATCACGGAGATGCAGAGAAGGAGAAGCTCAAGAAAGTGACCCCATGAAAGTGTTTATAGACTTCTAGTCCCATGAGCTGTAGCAGTATAAATTTGATCCTAATCAGCATCCCATAGGCTTTGAGAGCTGGACTAGGTGATAGATTACAGCCCAGGTCCCAGAATGGCCACTGGATGATGCAAATGTTGGACTGATCTGAATAGCAATGCTAGGCTTTGAAGATGGAACAGACATCAAAACTACAGAAGGCTGTTTGGAACTTGTGGCCTGAATCCAGCCAGGTTATCTTCAAAATTCTCTGTAGACTTAAGTAAGACCCAGAGTCTCACAACATGATTCAAAATGGCCAGGATAAAACCCAAAATGACTCAGCATATGAAGAACTAGTAAAATCCCAACTTGCATGAAAAAAGGCAACCAACAAATGTCAACACTGAGATGATGTAGATGTTGGAATTATTTGATGAAGAGTTTAAAGCAGCTATTACAAACATGCTCCAAGAAATAAGAGTAAATCCTCTTGAAATGGCTGGAAGGATAGAATGATAGATTTCTCATCAAAGAAATAGAAACTATAAAGAGGAACCAAATAAAAAATTTAGACCTAAAAAACAGAATAACTCAAATAAAAACTCTTTAGATGAGCTCAACAGCAGAATGGAGATGACAAAGAAAAGAATCAGTAAACTGAAGACATATCAATAGGAATTACCCAATCTGAACAACTGAGTGAAAAAAATAGTAAAGAAAACATAATCAGAGCTGTAGGACCTTTGTGACAATACCAAAATATCTAATATTCACATTATCGGAGTCCTAGAAGGAGAAGAGAAAATGAAGTGCAGAAAAAAATATTTGAAGAGACGATTGCTGAAAATCTCTTGAATTTTGTGAAAGATATAGAGCTGCAGATTCAAGAAGAAGCTCAGGGAACTCCAAACAGGGCAGAAAAACCCACAGAAAAGTCTATGCCAAGACATATCATGATTGAATTGCTAAAAACTAAAGATAAAAAAATATTAAAAGCAGCCAAAGCAAAAATGACACATTTCTTACAAGGAGTAATGTTTCAGTTCACTGTGGATCTCTCCTAAGAAACCATGAAGGCAGAAGGAAATAGCATATTTTTTTTAAGTGCCAAAAGAAAAGGACTATCAATCCAGAATTCTATATTTAGCAAAAATAATTTTGAGGAATGAAGGAAAACTAAAGATATCCTCAGAAGAAGGAAAACGAAGAGAATTCTTAATCAGCAGACCTACCAAAAGAAAAAACCTTCAAAAAAGTTCAGACAGAATAGAAATGATATAAAATGGAAATTTGTAGTATCAAGAATGAAGGAAGAGCCACAGAAATGTTAGATATATAGGAAAATATGGTAGACTACTCATCTTTAGTTCTTTAAAGTATGTGGGATGATCGAAAGCAAAAATTATGTGTCCGATTGGGTTTCAAAATATATAAATGTAATACATAAGACAACTACAACGTTAATGGGAGAAGGCAAAGGAATGTATATAGTGGCAAGGTGTCTATATTCCACTTGAAGTGGTAAAATACTCACCCTAAGTGGACTGTAAAAAAGTTAAATCTTTTTTGTAATCTCTAGAGAAATCACTAAAAAAAAAACTGTACGAAGAGATATAGCCAAATATACAATAGAAAGATTAAAATGGAATACTAAAAAATACTTAAATAATCCCAAAGAAGTCAGGGATGGGGAAACAGAGGGATGAAAACAGGGATAAAACAGAAAACAAATAATAAAATGTGGACCTAAATCCAAATACAGCAATAGTTATCTTAAATGTAAATAGTCTAAGCACACCAATTGTCAGACTAAAAAGAAAATCCATGGTCCATCTATACCCAGTCTATAAGAAGCTCACTTCAAATATGATGACGGTAGGTTAAAAGTAAAAGGATGAGAAAAGGTAAATTATGCAAACCTATCAAAAGAAAGCTGAATAGCTATATTAACAATCAGACAAAGCAGACTTCAGAGAACAGAAAATTGTTAGGGATAAAAAGGGACATTAGAAAATGATAGAAGGATCAATTCACAAAGAAGACATAACAATCCTAAATGTGTGTGCACCTTATAACAGATTTCAAAACACACAAAGCAAAAACTGGCAGAATTGAAAGGAAAAATAGACACATCCATAGTCATAGTTGGAGATTTCAACATCTCTCTCAGTAATTGATAAAACAAGGAGACAAATTAAAATCAGCAAGAGTAACATTAAAATGAGAAACGGAAGAAGAAAGGAGCTTGGAATCTTACAGGCAAATATCACCTACCTCACAGTTTGTTTGCTACACCGGGGTTATAAAAATGAAAATCCATTTAGAGTTTTCACTAGAGAACTTTTCATATAAAACTAAAAGCATCCTTCTAAAAGCATTTCCATTTGTTCCCCTAAAATATAATTGACTTTAGGCAAGTCATTTCTCCCTTCTGCATCTCCTTTTCCTCATCTGCAAAAATGAGGGGCCGGGGGCTGCCCCCACTCCCCCCACCCTCCCTCCCTCCCACCTGATGAGACTTTATCCGAGGTTTCTTCCAGCTCTGTGATTTTCCCTATGCTTTTATTTTCCAGCAAATTTTTTTTCTAGGCTGGTGTTTTCAAATCATTCTGTACTGATGAAGCCAAAATATCTTTTCATCTTTCTATTGTTTAATTTGCAAAGAAAGTATTAAAGATAAGACAGGGTGGAGACTTGACTCGCTGTCATTCAACCAAAGGCTGTGGTCTGGAAATCTCCTCTCTGACACAAACATTTTGAAACAAAGGTGGAAACCAATATGGAAAAAACGAATGTAGACCAAGTTCCAACCAAACATATTGCTTTATTTTCTGCTGAAATCTTTTTTCCCCTGTCATGTAGACACCGCTTAGGCAATATTTAACCAAATATTACTTATGTGTAATGAGAAACATGGTTATGTTGCATTTGGAAAGTTAGATGTTACAAACACAACCTGACAAACGGTTCCAAGTTTGATAATATGAGAAGAAACAGAATAAATTAAAAGGTAAACCACATTCTTCTCAGCTTCCTGATGGGTTTTGTCCAAACAGCTTGAACAATTGCAAAATATTATTCAGGTAATTTCCAGGCCTTCTGCTATTATCATTTGCTTTTGAGCAAAGCTTATTGAACATTTGCTGTATTGTTCTAGTTCTAGACACTTTGGAAGACACAGAGATGTAAAAGGTATGGTGTCTATTTTCTAGTCACCGTGAGAACTTCTTACTGGACTGTCAATTCCAGGAGGGCAGAAAGTGTAGATGTTTTGCTTATCACTGTGTAGCCAATTTCCAGCACGGGGCTTCAAATAGGGTGTGCTCCATACCAGTTATAGGAGGACACGAGAACTCATTTGCAGAGGTAATCTTATTTAGCAACTTGCTAGGATGCATCTCTGTGCAAAAAATGGATTATATGAATATACAAGTGCAAATATGTAAAATGTAAATATATATATACACATACTTATGGTGTGTTTGTTTGTTATATGTACATATGTAACAAATAACAGATTTTTTTAGTTTGTTTTTGTCTATATAGACCCCCAAAATCAATAGGACTGATGAAATTTTTCAGGTTCACAGCTGGTTTTCTGAGAGTGCAATAGAGCAATCCTTCTAAAGCTTTCTTTTCCCCACCAATCACCTGGAATCTTATTCAAATGTCGATTCTGATTCAGTAGGTCTGGGGCAGGGCTGAGATTTGCATTTCTTCAAACTTCCACTGACTGTGGTTCATGGGCCACCCCTTGAGTAACAAGGCACAGCACGCAGTGCCAACTATACGTGGTGTTCAGGTCCAGGTGGAAGACGGTGTAACGACTGCAACATGCAGCCTTGACAGGGTAATAAACATAGAATTTTAAACTACAAATGACTGTAGACCTTTTTTTTGGAGGAGGAAACCCTTGGACAGAAAGAGGTTAAAGTGACCTTCCTAAGGCCCTACAACCAGTTGTGGTTTTGTTCCCACTGGAACTGGGACCCGGCCTTGGGACTCCTGATTTTAAAACTCCTGTTCTTTCCCTAAGGTAATGTGTCTGACTTGGTTAAAAAAGAAGTTGAAGAGCAGTCACGGGGGTATCACGGTTGGAAGGAAGGGCATTCCCAGCTGGGACCAGAGGTGTGTTCCCGACTGGATGCCTGTATGTGAATGAGCCTTGGGTCTTGTTTAGCATAGCTAAGCTAACTTCTTTCCCTGAGTTACTGCCCCAGTGGCCTGTGTCTAGCTCCTGCAATAGAAGAAGGAAGAAGAGGAATTTGGGGTAGAGATGAGGCATGGTGCTCAGAGCATCCCAGAAAATATTGTCCGCAGCTTCAATCAGGATATTTGCTTCATCCCAGCAGCCTGGCTGGTAGCTATGAGTGTTTGGGACAGGCTAATTCAATTCAATTGCTGGGCCTTGAGATGGAATTTCTAGGGTCATCTGAATGGTCTGGCTTCCCTAACTCTGACTTGGAAAATGTCTGCTCGTTCTGATTTCACAACACTGGGGAATCCTACTTCCTGAGAAACTATTCTTACCTGGTTTTTGTCTCCATTGGACTGGCCCGTGTTGATAACAGTCACTATGTATGTAGAAGACAGATTGGCTGTTGATAACTTAACTAAAATCTTCATTTTCTAAGTTGCATGGAAGTCATCAGCATTTTTTCATAAAGCATTCCTTTGGAGGTTGTTTTCAAGGGAAACTTCTCATGCTAACCAAGTCTAAGGTCGCCTACAACATCTTAAGTGTTTACAATATGTCCGCCATAATAAGACAATGAGCAATCACAGTATTGCCTCACTGGGGTGGAGGGTGCACAGGCAGGAAACACCAATAACCGTTTGTGCTTTGAGTTCAAGGAAGCCACTGGTCTGGCATCATTGCTGATGTTGGAGGGTCTTAGGAATGTCTAAATCCTTGGAGTCCTCTTAGGAGTGAGAATCACAGAGAAAATCTTTTAATACATTAGCAACAACATATTGAAGCCATTCTCTTCTGAGAAACTGAGTTCTTTTGGGAGGACTTTCTCTCTATATGCTCTCCCCTTCCTGCCACACCCCACTACCTTCAACTCTTCAATTGAAAGAGACAAAGCAAAGACAGCAAGACAAACACGAATCTTCACGGTACAATGGAAAACACAAAGACAGGGAGTGAATACACACGCATGGCTGAGTTTTGGCTACATCAGCAACCAGCTGTGTGACCTTTAGCAAGTTGCTTAACTTCTCTTATGTTTCAATTTCTGGTTATAAAATAAAGAAGTTGGACTAGATGATTTCAAAATATTTTTTTCTAGCCCTAAGTATCTAGGCGTCTACAGCTTAGTTTCCTCCTAGAGTTCATAAACCCATCCGTGGGATTCAGACTTAGGAGACAAAAACTCATTAATGAGAAGAGTGTCCTATTTAGTTTGACAGTGGAATTCACTTTAAAAAAAATCAAGATTACCTGGGTGATTGAAACATATATTAATTCCCCACCAAAGTCAAGAGGAGATCATCGCTCAGCACATTATTAATTTTAAACTAATCAGCTTGGCAGTTTGTGGTTGATAGTCCATTTTCACGTCATTTTTCATCCTCTAAAGCATTCTTCTCCTTCCCTTTCCCTCAGCTTCACTTGAGACCACTTTAACTGACACTCTTGGGGAAATCTTTAGTCAGGACCCACCCCTGGGGTCCACCTCAGCCAGGGGAACTCTGACATAGAAACATGAAACCCCATCATTTAACGAGGCACTGATTCTCACAGGAAGTAGATCTCGCTTTGTTTAATAAAAACAGTCTTAGAGCACACACACACGCACAAACGACACGTGGAAAAAATGTGTCATTTGTACCTTTGCCTGGAGGAAAATGTTGATAGTGTACCATGGTTAATAGAAATTGAATCAACGCTACATCTCTAAAGGACTTTTTTCTGCAAGTGGGAGAGGCACACTGTTTATTACTGAGAAGAGAAAGTCAGAAGAAACCTGATCTAAAGTGACTTGGCATTTTGGTTCACCGAGAACCAGAGAGTGGAGGGTCAGATTTCAGGAAACAGAAGGGAGGAATCTGAACTGCAAGAAACTGATTACAAGAGAGATCATGGACAATTACATCAGAACTAACTCAAACCTGCCGTGAGGCTCAGTGGCTATTCAGTAATAATGGTAATACTGGCAAAAAAAAATGAAATAGATGAGTGCGAGTTTGACTGAGCATGGCTGCAGCACACACGCTGCCAAACAAGTTTGCATGTGGCATGTTGTAACTTTACTACTCAGAATCATAAAAGAGCTGGGCATGATTCCCAGAACATTGCTAACTTTTCTTCTTTCTTCTGTGGTCCATATATTATAATTGTATGAATTTTCTTTTCCAAAGCCATTTTCAACTCTAGAAATGGAGAGAATATGCAGTGCACATGTTACCCGAGTTTAGATCTAGTTCTGACAAGTTCTGCCCCAACATTAAGCTCCTACTGGAACAGTGGTAGTTTCTAGGATGTAACAAAGCTCACCTGCCTCAGTCGGAGATGAAGCGATAATAGCATGCCAACTGGATTCCAATCTCTTTAAACTTCAGGAGGTTTTGATTAGCTAAAGGCTTCTTCAGCCCAAGCCCCTCACCCTTGGCAGGTGATCTCAGCAGAATATACCATATCAGCTAACTCAGCTTCCTTTTTCTTCATCCCAAAAGTTCTGGAGATCCTCATCCATCTTTGCCTTCCTTCCTCCTATTCTTCCTCTACTCCAAGCCACACCCACCATTTATATCCTGAATTCCATCTCCTCCTTGTTGGTTTTGCAATCTGAGCATGCATGCTCTGTGTGGGTTCATAAACAGAAGTATGGATCCCCTTCCATAGTTCTCTCCTCCCCACACTCTCTGGCCCATAAGGACCCCTTTACCCAGCCTTTCACTTCAGAAAGATGGGTTATTATCTGAGTTCCGGCAGCCTGCATATCCGACCCCCTGCCCAGTTCTGAGCTTGAGGCTCATCAGAGGTTTAAGCTGGGGAAAAGGAACTAAAGAAAAAGAAACCAGGGAAATTCATTCCCCTTAGGGGTCTCTTCTCCAAGTTTCAACTTCCTCCCACAATCTGCCTGCGTGTACCTGATTTTCAGAGTCTGTTTAGCATCTTTGCATCTTTGACTGAGGCAGGTCATCTTTACTATTTTCACCTCTCCTCTAGTTCTCTACTCATGGCCTTCAAGCAAGCTGCCCCTTTCTAAAACATCTTTTCTTCACCTTCTCTCCTCACCAACGTTCTTTCCTGCTCTCATCTTTTTTTCTCACCACGATCTTTGAAATTGTCTTTTTCCACATGAACTTAAACTCCATTTCTCGCACAGCAGGATGAGCCCCCACAGCCTACCTCTCCCACTGATTGCAACAGAAAACTCTGGACGAAATACAAAAAACAACTATCTGAGGACTCTGAAAATTAAGCCAAAGCAGGCAGAAGAGAGATGGGAGATGAAACTTGGAAAAGTGGCCTACGAGACAATGAATTTCCCAGGTCTTTTTTTTTCCTGTTCTCATGGCTTTGCCCTGAGGATGACCCCAAGCAGAGAGCTGGCGAGGGGTCAGCACCGCAGGCTGCTAAAACTGAGATAACATCCCCAACTTTCTGGACTGAGAGCTGGCAAGGGAGTCCATGGAGGCCAGAGAGTGTGGAGAAGAGAGAGCTGTAAAGGGGGAATCCATAATTCTGTTCATGAACCTAAGTAAGTGCATGCGTGGATCAGACCCAAACCAACATAGTAAAGACTTTGAGAACTGAACTGATATTTAAACCACAGCCCAACTCAAAGTAATCCTTGAGTGGCACACACATGGGACTACTCAAAGCAGTATACTAAAGGCTTTAAAAGCTGAACTGAGATTAGAATCACTGCCCACAGAAGGCAAAACAGAGCCATCAATCTGAACCTAACTAGGTTGGCTATCTGAAGAATCAAACAAAAAAGTCAACACTTTCCAGAGAATTATAATAAGACTCCAAATAAGATAATATTCATGATGGCCTGGATACAGTGCAAAATTACTCAAACATACATAGAACCAGAAAAATGTGACTAATTCTCAAGCAACATGTGTCAACCCTAAGATGACCCGGATGTTGACATGCTCAGGCAGAGACTTTAAAGCAGCTGTTATAACTGTGATCCATGAGATAAAGGTAAAAATACTTGCAACGAATGGAAAGAAAAAATAGAAACTATAAAAGGGAACCAACTAGAAAGTATAGAATTGAAAAATGCAATATCTGAAATTTTTTTAGTTCATTGGATGGGCTTAATAGCAGAATGGAGATGACAGAAAAAAAATCAGTGAACTTGAAGATAAATTAGTAAAAATTACCCAATCTAAAGAACAGAGAGAGGAAAAATAAAATGAAAATAGAGTCTCAGGGACCTGTCGAACAATATCAAAAGGTCTAACATACATGTCGTTGGAATTCCAGAAAGAGAAGAAAAAGAAATTGGAGCCAAAAACGTCTAAAATTGGAGAAAGACATAAATTTCTAGATTAAAGCAGCTCAGGGAAACCCAAGCATGATCAACTCAAAGTAAACCACACCAGACACATCAAATCAAACTACAGAAAACCAAAGATTTAAGAAAAATCTTGAAAGCTGCTAGGGAAAAATGACACATTACATAGAGGGGGTTGATGATCCAAAGGACTGCGAGCATCTTGTTAGAAACGACGGAGGGCAGAAGACACAGGAGGAATGTCCTTAACGGGCTGAAAGACCAAGAATGAGGCTGGGCTTATATCTGAGAGGGACTGGAGCAAAGGCTGATTACTAAATATGAGTTTAGGTCCAGGAAATGGGACAGAAATCTAGAGATTAGTATTGTGGTTGGGCTCAAACAAGAAAAAGCCCAGTTGACAATCAAGGCTTCACTGGCAACCTGAATGTCAGATCTCACACACACACACACACACACACACACACACACACCCCACACACACACATACACACAGGGTCCAAGAGATCATCAATAAACTAAGAGTAGAGGTCAAATGGCCACAGCTGCAGGAAAGGAGGGCTCTTGGGGCTGTCAGAACTTCTTAGACATTAGCTCTTTTCTGTACATGTCCAAAATGTCTTTTGTCCCCACAATTGCCTCTGCCTCCATCTCCTACTTTCTCAACTCAGTATGACTAATTCCTGCTTATCCTCGATGATCTAGTTCACATGAAACTTCATTCATTCTGTAGGAAAAACTTACTGAATACCTACTATGTACCAGGAGCTGAACTTCTCCATAAAGACTTCCCAGATCTTCCCACTGAAAGCAATTTTCCCATCCTCTGAATTGTCATATCAATTCATTGTACTAATCTTACACTTTCTGTTAGAGTTAGCCATATGCATGTACATTGTATATTACTTGAGGATAGAGACTGTGTGTTACACATCTTTGTCTTACCAACAGGATCTATTATGGTAACTTAAAGATACTCATTGTTTAGTACTTACAATGAACAAAGTGAGTGGATGACTTTTTCCCCCCTAAACCAACTAAAACACTACCAGTCATTACGAGTAGCATGAATTGCTTATATTTTTAAAAATTCCTTGATAAAATAATTCTTTAATTAGCAAGTGATTAAAAAACCAGAAAAAAAATGAGCACATATTTCCTAGAATTATTTCTCACAATTCTTTGCCATTTAGTCATCCTCAGAAGAATCACAGAATGTAGATAGGTCTGGAAGGGAACTTGAAAAGGAAAGACCAAACACTTATTTTACAAAGTAGAACATGGAGAGGTTAAGAGGCTGCCTCAAATCTCACAGTAATTGAACCAGATTAGAATCCAGGTCTTTTCAGGGCTCCCTCTGAGCTTCATGCTTCTTCTAACTCAGTGCTGCAACGTAGAGGTTTACTGAAAGACTAGAAGACCAGAGATTGATTGAGTGAACCTGGATGGTTGGTTAACATCACTGAAGAGGCTGGTCATCTCCTCCCACAAGACTAAAGAGCTATGTGAAAGTTATCCCAGTGTTCGGTTAGCGTCCTCTGAGTGTCTAGGCCTGAACACAACCACCACCTTACCAGCCAGTCATTCTACTCATTCTTTACAACCCCATTTCTTGAAGTACCAGAGAATTCAGAGGGTGTCAGTTATGAAACAAGGGGAAAAGCATAGTTGGAAAGAAAAGCTTTGCACCTGATCTCAAGTCTATCAAAAACAGAGTTGAGGACGCTGCCAAACCCCTGACTGCCTTTGGGGCCTCAGTGTCCCTACTTGTGAAAAGATGTTGAAGATGCCAGTAACCCTGGAAACAGAAATGGAATGCACATCAACCAACCACCAAATAAAATAGATTTCAGATGCAAATAGAAACAAAAAGCTGGAGAAGTATGAAGAGTTTTAAGTATAAAAAAGAAAAACTAAAAAGATAATCCTTTTAAGAAGCTGATTTTTTCTTAGTCATTCCCAAAGTAAGAGGGCCAGGGTAGTACCGCCAGGGCTTAACTCCAAAATAGATAAAAGGCTAAAACAAAAAAAAAACGGCAGCTCTATTGAGAAAAAAAAGTCCTGAAATAACCTATCTCTGGTGTTCAGAAGTCACAAGGTCATCATTCATCTTTATAAAAAGAGACATGGAACAAAGACAAACAAGGTGAAGGGTTTACTTTTACATAACGCCGGGACAGGTAAAAGAAATAGCTATAATTCCGCAGGCCCTGAGCATGACAGAAATTTAAAGCTTTAGGAAACATCCTATGAAACGCTATACTTCTGGTTTCAATAAATGCTTGGAGACATCATGAAAGTCCTTTTGATAGGGACAGAAAATTTTGTTCACCATTTCTTTTAAATTCTTAAAAAATATTTCAAAATCTTACAGTCTACCCTCTACCTGGACTTAAGATCAGTCAGGGTCAAACAATCCACAACTTTAGAAGCTTACTTCTAATGTTACTACCCTAGACCTTAATATTTATTAACTTCAACACACAACAGTGCATGACTCAAACAAATAGCTAACGTTACCGATTCCATGAGCTTATGAGCTCTCCCATTGGTACCTGAATATAATTGCCTTTGTAGTGTTCTTTTAAAGCTGTCTGTGCACACACACAGGTATACGTTTTTACAAAATGATGATTGGAAGGAAAAATTAATCTGTTCATCCAGTGAAAACTTGACATAGATGAATCCCTAATTATAGAGATAAATGTATAAAAGAGTCATAGACTAACCTGTAGCAAGAATAAAATTCTTCAAAATCTCCTGTTTATCTAAAAACTTAGGTAAATTTGAAATTTACACATCATGGTATATACAGATTTATTTTAACATTAAAGTAACATTTTCCCCCAAGATTTCTTAATAGAATGGCATCCTTTGGTAGCATACAACAAAGAAAGAAAGCCCACAACACTTTTGGTTCAATCTTCTGGCTATTTTAAGGCAAAGCATTTTGTTTTGTTTTGTTTTCTCTTTTGAATTATTCAAATCTCCATGCCCAGTAAATGCTCTGCACTTTGCAAAAGCATAATACTCAGAAATCTTATAACTTTTTATTAACTTGTGGATTTTTCCAGAGCAAGAATGTCATTTACGTATTCCCTAAAGAGAAACCAGAAGAGAGGGGAATTTTCCTCTGAGTTTTCAATTGAAGCTTCTAGTGAATGGGAAAATCAGTTCTCACTTAGATCTACATGGCTATTTGTGAGCAGAAAATAGTTTTAATTATTCTGCCTAAGCAACCAAGATTTTC